ACCCCAATTCACTTCAGTGTTGTTTCGGGAGTTAAACCAACTTTGGGTTCGATACACATGCGCACCACCGCCTACCATCCGGAAGGCAAGGGCCTAGTCGAACGCTTCCACCGACAACTTAAGTCCGCTATCATCGCGACTTCAGCTAGTGTTAACTGGGCAGAACGCCTTTTCATCATTCTTCTGACCTTCCGATAGACTTACCTCCACGTGGTGCACCCTGGGCAACGTGTATTCATACGGCAAAAAATTCTATTAACTGGCAGTTGACTTCTCACTTCTAACTACCATCACCTCACTCTATGCCATATTCGACTATATCCACAGTACTCACCTCACCTTTTTCTACCTTTGTGTTTGTCTCTTACATCATTGAAACACTCCTCTGTTCACCCCCCCCCTCTCTACTTTTTTCAATTTGATGTACCTTCCTCTCTGTGAAGCCTGAAGTCAACTAAAGAGCTAATGATAACCATCAAGACGCTTGCCACTTGATATAAATAAAAAAATAAATCTTTCCATACTAAACACGGTTAAAGGCGACCTTGGATGCTCACCAGTGGAACTTGTTTTCGGCGCCACGCTCCGGCTCCTGGGAGAAATGATTTCCTGCTTCCCGGATATGCTAATGGTAGATCCTTTTCTATACACCTCCCAACTTAAAGAACATTTCCGGTCCGTCCTTCCGACACCCCCTCGTTTTAGCGATAGATCCACGCACATCTCCAAAGACCAGAATACTTCTCCCTTCGTTTTTGTCCACGTAGACGCAGTCAAGAAGTCACTCCAACCACCGTACAACGGACCGTACAAGGTCCTACGGCGCGAACCGAAATTCTTTGTCCTCGACCGTAATGGTATCAAGGATTTCGTTAGCATCGACAGGTTGAAACCGGCTTACTTGGAAATTTCGACTACACCCGCGTCGGATACCTCATCGGCCCCGATTACCCACCCAACTCCTCCTCACGTACTTGTTAATTCCCAAGACACTTCCGGTTTACAACCCGTTGCTCACCATTCCCAACCCCCTTTTACACGTTATGGCCGTAGGGTTGCTTTTCCCCCTCAACTTGTGGATTTTGTACATTAACCGTTCCTAACGTCTCTAGATTTCCTCTTTTCCACTCATATTTTCTCCCTCTTCCGCCTTTCCATTGTTGTATATTGACTGTTTTCGAGCGTTTTTTTTCCTTTCAGGCACCCCCAAACGTTCTAGAGGGGGAGTTATGTAGAACGCGTCATCGCTTAACCAACATTACATGCAAACTCGTGTACGGATCAGGTGCGGCGAACTCAACGACATTAACCAATCAGAGGCGCCCATTTGTTTTACCGGATCCGCCATATTGATAATGACTAAGTTCCCTCCTGTGCACAGTACTGACGTGCTACGTCCTTAATAAACGTATTCCTCCTCGCTCGTCTCTTTCCTCCATATCTTTGCAATAGCTTAGCTAGTTTGGGAAGTCCATTGATAGTAGAGATTACTGAGTAAAGTCTAGGCTTATTGGTGTAGCAAACCGCTACAGGCCCCTTTATCTTCAAAGATTGATAACAAAGAGTAGGAGAGAAAGAAAGTTTATTATATTTCTTCCCCTAACCTCCTATTTTTGCACAATTTCAGCGAGTCAGGTGGTTGGATTGCAAAATTTAAAATCAAAAGTGCTTAGTGTTGTAAAATTATATATGATTGCTTAATTTTTAGTTAAGATTATTATATCTGACTTCTAAGGAAAACTATTTCATTGACATAACGAGATTTTGAAAAAACATAAAGCCGACTGCTTTTAATTGGCGAAAATTCCTTAAAAACATAGAGGACTAATGTTCATTAGGCATGCTTTAGGAAGTAATGCTACCAAGGCAATACTGTCTGCCATTTCCATATCTAGCTGAGTGTTCACATTCCTTCCGATGAAGTACCCTTGAACTTAAGCTGGCTGAATGTCAGACGATTGTGAAATTGCACATAGAACATTTTGTCCAATATTGGCGAATATTTCTAGCGATTAAAAATTTTGATAATTTTGAAATTTGTGCTTAATTAAGTTTGCCAACTTCCAATTCAAAGGCATCCACAATAAATATAAAATTTTCTCGCTGTAGCATTGTTCCGAAAGTGCCTACAAAGTAGCAAACACGTATAACTCTTCAAATTCTATTTTTCTGAAAAATTTGTACTCAGACAGGACATTCAAAGAGCCAGTTGTTAGACAATATTTTGTTCGATTGAAAGGAGTAATAAAAATACCTTTATGGTTGATGTAGTGATTATTTTATTCAAAGTTATAGAGCCAAAACACTCTTGCCCTATGTCTTGCATAATTTACATTTAAACCAGCTTGCGAATGGGTGAAATCTATACGACAATTTAAAACCGACTTCAAATAAAGCGAATTTGAGCATTGGAATGAGTTTATTCCTTCGTGCAATGCCTATGCATTCAATTATCATTTAAATATGCAGAGATTATCGATTATTTTCAACTTCAATCGGGGGGGGGGACTGGTCTTTATGATTCCGCGGTACACTCTGGTTCATGATCTATTTTCGACCTTGGAGTAACTGTGAGACTGTAATATTACATTTTCAATTTGTAAATTACGAACAACAGCACTTTAGAGGTGAGTTGACTTTGTCACGGGGAACATTCAAGAGAACTAGTAACTACACCCAGTGACTTTCAATGGCCTTCGATCGGTAGCATCCAATTGAAATATAGCGCGATTCATCCTACGTGCCGCGCAATTTTGAAATCATTGACCTCAAATATTTCATCGAAAGGGTGATTTGAAATAAAAATAGATAAATAAATAATCTTCCTACTTGTGTTTTAATTGTGACTTAAGTATATTAATATATAGTTTGATATTTATGTGCATATAATTCAATATTAAAAAATAATTAATTGTAAACATAAATAATTGATTGGATTTATTTAAAAGGAACTGATTTAGGAATTTCTATTATTCCACCTTGGCTGTGTGACATTTCTGCTAAGGATTTATTTATTTATTTCTGAAAACGAAATATTTGATGAGTAAGTTGCCCTTACTAAATTAGATTATTAACAAATGAGTAAGTATATCATAAACTGAACAATTTTGAGTGCCAATTTTATGAGAAACTCGTAGGTTATAAATCGGATTTGGGCTGAATGAAATTGGCCCGATGAGGTTTCATTGAATTTGCAGTAATTTGCCAAAGTCCAAGAAAATCACTTCATTAAGTTAATCATTTAAGAGGTTAATGTATATTCATAAAAGTATTCCCCTTTTAACAAGCATTATTGCCATTAACGACTTTGAGCAGTTTTTTTGTTTTTCAAAGGAGGGAGATGTGTAGCGAAGTGGTACTCGAATAAGCCCTGACTTATCTTCAGTTATCTCTCTGGCACAGTATCCTGGTATGCAAAGTCTTTCGACATTTGCCAAGCTATCTCAACAATGGAGAGGAAACAGATATACAATTGGGTTGGTTGTCACACTGGGAGAGAGAGAGAGATTAGTCATAAAATACGGTTTCGCCTACGATGACCATGCTGTGACAAGTGGCTATTGGCTAGTTGAGAGGTCACTACACTTCTGACCTCTTTCACTCCCTAACGCTATCAACATCATAGCGCGCGCTCCGAAATCTCTGAGTACACATGAGGTTGCTTAATTTAATTGTGCTAACTAGGACTACGCACTCCACAGATGGCAAGAAAACCCTAATAAAATGTTCTATATTTGAGGTGAGTTTGGAAATTCCAGTAGAAATACAAAAAGGGTAAATGACTATTCGACTAATTGACAAATTTTTAAGTACCCATATTTTAGCTTAAAATAGTCATTTTAAGCTAATTATATCAGACACCTGTAAACAAGAAGATTTGTGCTTCAGATCTATTCACATATCTATTGACGGTTATCTTGAGTTTCAATTTAGAACTACTGGCAGTGACGCTGTACTTTCAGCAAAATTCTTCAAAAGTAGAACTCCAATTCAAGCTAGCCAAAAATCGGCGTTTAATTTCAAAAACCCCAAAGGAGAGTATTTACAACTGATGGGAAAAATTCAAAGTTCCTCCAACAAAAGAACGGGTCTGGATGACTTAACTGCAGATCCAAAGAAGATGGTATTTGGATAAAAAAATTTAAAACCAAGTTTATCCTACCCTGGCGTGAACAGAGCCAGGGCTAAAAAGTGGGAGATAAATGTCAAAGGTCCACGTGAACCCTCTTTGTCATCTACGGTTAGCAAATGTTTTGAGTGAAATGAGAAATCACTGGCAAATAGACCTCTACCGAAACGCTGACATTTCACAAACTGATAGAAGTTCTTGACATATTTATGTCAATTACGAAGGTTATTCGAAGAGGGGGCGGTAAGGAAATCAGTTCAAAACGATGGCCCGTGAAATTTCGATATGGCAATAATGAGAGGTTAAGTCCAAATTCAGAAACAAATGTTAAATTGGCTAAATATATTAAATTTCACATTGATTAAACCTTAATAACTATCCTACAATAGCCAAATTGAACCTTTTGACAAATAGCATTCATAAGTTTTGATTAATTTTCTCTAAATCCGCTGCAAATTTTAAAAATCACCCCAAATTTCGAATTCGACTAAAATATTCTTTTTTATCTTCCAAGTATTTTGGGCGTGAATTTCGTCAGTGGCCAATAATGTTTGCTCGGAATACGAATTCAATTGATTAAAATGAATAATTATATTATCTCAATAATCTTTTTATTCCACTAGAGCTAAATATCTTTGAGTTCTTTTTCTTGTTGCGAGGAATAACTTTGGCGGGAGCGATGACCTTAGCCTGCTGACATTTGGCATGCACTAGTTCCGATCGTTTAGGAGGCCAAGCGAGGCATTTGGAAACTTGATTGTGGTGAAAGATTTATGAGTACTGAAGGAAGCGAAAATGCAAAAAGAGACAGTATGCCCTATGTCTCTTTAAATGACGGTCAGAATCAGTCTGAAGATCAAGTGGACAAGGTATTGGATCGAATTAAAGTTTGGACAAGGTAGGCAAGGGGACAACCTGGGCTGGAAGAAGTTACGAAGAGTGCATGATTTTCAATACTCTTACATAATGTCTGACTGATAGAGGAGCCACTTCATGTCGTCATGGCTCTGTGAACTGGAGATGCAGAAGCAAAAGAATAGCATAAGAAATACGGGTACAGGGATTGAGTCTAATTTTTGGAAGAATTTGTAGAAATAAGGGCTTTACATATGCCAGAATTATGAGGAGACATCCTAGTTTTATATTTTTGCAGATATGGTCATCAGTTCCGTGGGAAAAACTTGTAATCATTTTACTAAAAATTAAGGAACCTGCTATCCGATGAGAGATGAAGGACCTTCTTTTAATTTGTTCATTTCAAACTCATCGGAGGTGGCACAAGCTTTTTGCTCATCACTGGTTTAGCTCGATTAGTTACTCAAGTGGCCAAAGATCTTACGATTAAATCAATGCGCGACCTTGTAATTTATCACCATTTTTGCATAAAATACACCTTTTTTAATTATTCAGCAATAACCTGATAATATAATTTATCAAAAGTAAAGCAAATTTATTTATATCCGATGGATTCAAATAATAATGATAATATACGATGCCTAATTCTTTCTCTTTGCTTAAATTAACTTTCTAAATCAAACCGATCAAAAATAAAATTGTCAAAATATGGCGACGTGAAATTTTCATTAACATGACACTTATTAACTAAAGCTCTTGGCCAATGTACACATACCAGTAAATATGAATGTCTTTGAGTAAATGAAACTAAAATAATTATAGAAAGACAAAAGTGAAAACATATACAACTCTTTGCTATTATCACCAGTTTATTTTTATTCCTCCCATGAACATTTAAAGACTTGCATTCTGCTTAGAATCGTTTATAATGTTGTTACTGACAAACTACAATTATGAGCACGCTTAATAATGCATATGGCAGATTGAGATATCAAGGTTCAAGAAATTCGGTGTTAATGATTGTTCCTTCTATGTTAAGCCAAGTTTTCATATGCACATCGTCAAACTTACAAGTACACAAAATCACACTGAATCGATATCAGATACAGGAAAATTTGGTGGAGAAAAGGTCTTGTGATAGAAAGAGCTTAAGCGGAGGAAAATTTGGAATTAAGAAGCAAGAAATAGTGGGTTCAATCAGTTTCCATCTATAGAACACATCAAAATGTTCACCCCTATCACCCCTCAGCGAATGGAATTTTGGTGGTTCATTTTAAGATTGGAGAAGTTGTTGTCAATTGATCTGAAATTGAATGTGAAATCGATAGATGTGGCAGTCAAATCATCAGTTGGTTCCTCAAGTGAAAAAGAACTCACTTGGAAATGATAAGTTTGAGGTCCTTCCCTGCTGCCTTGATACTTTCGGTGGCCTGTGAATGACTCAGTGTTCGAGTATCTTGTCCGTTGATTCCACGAATCTCATCACCACAATGCAATTGACCTTCAGCTGGACTTCCAGGCTGTGTCTAAAGTAGCAGATGAAAAGTAAATATTGGGAAGACCCGACGAAATAGAACCTTATAAAAGTTCCTTTCTACGATATTTTTTCATCAAGCTATAAACATTAGCTAAGTCGTATTGATAAATGTCGAACCATTAACCTCGGAGTGTTTGGACTTTTCGAGTATATAAATGGACGGAGGCAGGAAATAGTCGAACATAATCGCAAGAACACAGAGTATTTGGATAAAATATGGAAACATTATTGACGATTGAAAAGATTAGACTTTCATTTCGATTTATTTAAGCCTGCTGGCTGAGATTAATCGAAGGAAACAAGAGCATTAAAGCAACCAAGACTAACATTTTCCGCCATGAAAGATTAATTAACGACCTAGAAAGCGAAATTCAACTAAATATGCGCCAATTTAACGATTTTGTACTTAAATGACGTACATCTAATTGTTTTCATCACAATGAAGATAAAATTCTGATTGTCGTTCTCTATTTGGCTGGACTTGAAAGTCATTTCAAACTTTCTGCGTGTCGCTGAAGAATAGGAATATTGGAAATCAATTGTCAATCCCAAATCTAGTTCTCATGAATTATCATTCAAGATCATCTTGAGGAATTATGAGTAAATATGTGATATAATTTATGGTTACTCGCAAAAAACATCAATGCTACAAGCCTTTATATAAGTTTGTCATAACTTTCGAATATAATTTTTGAAAGCAGCGGGAAAACCTTTTCTGAGCAAAATATGTTTGCGTATTTAACTCAAGAATATGTAATTAATAAATGAATAACTGCATATTGGAAATTATCAACGGGTGTCAAACTTTGGTACATGAAAGAAATTCGGAGATTGTATAACCTGACATGTCAAATAACAGTTTTTAACAAAGAGAAATTGTCACATTAAAATCATTTCCGATGTTTGAATATTACGATGCCTAAAATTCTTGTTCAATTTCAACTCTCTTTAACCACATCGTGGAGAGAAGTTTGTACCCACACGTATATAGACTTGGAAAGAGTCTAACGTTCTGGTGCTCTAAATCTTGTTCCAAATACATTTCATAGTATTCTCAAAAAAAATCTTTAACAATAAATACAAATAGAGATTAGAATGATTTAATGTTTTAATATGGAGTGTGCGATAGACTTACCTCCACGTGGTGCACCCTGGGCAACGTGTATTCATACGGCAAAAAAGTCTGTGAACTGGCAGTTGACTTCTCACTTCAAACTACCATCGCCCCACTCTATGCCATATTCGTCTAGTTTCACAGTACTCACCTCACCTTTTTCTACCTTTTCTACCTTCGTCTTTGAAACACTCTTCTGTCCCCCCTCCCCCCTCTCGACTTTTTTCAATTTGATGTTCCTTCCCCTCTGTGAAGCCTGAAGTCAACTAAAGAGCCAATGATAACCATCAAGACGCCTGCCATTTGATATAAATAAAAATGTTTTAATATAGAGCGGCGTAACAGTAAATTTGAAAAATTTAATAAATGCCTTGGTGAGTACAAGGGTTAAATTTCCCTTTATCAGATCACTTTAAGTAAAATTTTGCCAAATAATAACTAATCCGTGGTAATCAATTTGTAATGATTTAAAAATTGAATTTTTAACCAAAAATATCTAAATTTATAAATAATGCCATTTTCTTTTTGAAAAAAAATTAAAATAACTTTCGTTCGAATGAGCATTTCTAGTCATCTTAAAAAGGCCAAAACTTATCAATCTAATTATTTTTAATTAACTTTGATAATT